AGTCCTGAAACAGTGTCTGGCACAATGTAGTCACACAATATTTGCTTTAATAAAAAGTTGTGTTTTATGAGTCTCAAATTTCAACAATTATACATTTATTAGACACAGCACTAGGTATGTTCTGTACAGTACCTCTTTTAATATTTACAACAGCCCTATCAGGTAAGCATCATTATTCCCATTTCACAGGTGGAAAAACTGATGCCCAGAGAGGTTCAGTAACTTTTCCAAGGTCACTCAGCTAATAAGTGACAGAACCATAATTTGAACCCAAGTCCAAGACTCCAAACCCTGTGCTTGTAACCGCTTAACCACATGCTATAGTGTCTCCCCACCTCCCCACCAAAACTGGTGTGAAGATTATTTACTCTAATTTGAGTGACTGGAAGTACTCAAAAGTAAAACCACTGTGTATCTTTTTAGATGGTTTATAACTAAATTTTTTACAAGAATTTAGATGAGTCTCTCGCCCAATCAATCTACAGTGCTAAGATTTGTCCCTTACCCATGCACATATGCATATATGTATTTAAATAAGTGTACGCTAATGTGCTACTAACAAGCAAAAGAAAGCCAGCTACCAGTCAACAAGGTCAGAACGATTCACAGTCTTATTTTACCATGTCAACTACCAAGCTACATGTATTTGTTGTCCAGGACAGTCTCCTGCCCAGGAACAGAAATCTCATGGAAGACCTGATCGTTGAAAGCAAAGCACAGACACTAAGAACAGCAGGAGACAGAAGTGTTCCAGGTGAAACAGTTCCCCAAAGAATACCAGCCAGCCTGTGGAGAACACCAGCGGAGAGGAAGACCCTCCCGGACCCTAGTTCCTTTATGAAGGTGGAGAGAGACCACACATGATCATTTCCAATGATAATTGTCACCCCTCTTCTCTGTCACCTGACAGGGCCTATGACAATCACACAGCTTTTCTTCTCTTTCAGGAACGTTGTGGTCATTCTGCACTGAACACCATCCAACTGCCCCACTCCCCACTAGCCGGCACAGCATATAACTCTCAAGACACAAATGCTTCAGTGTAGATTTCTCACAAAAGTCTCTTGTCCTGAATGTCTGTAAGACTGAAAAAAGCAGGGATGCCTGTCATCAATGACATACTGCTCTCAGAGTCTCTTCTAAAGATTGACAACGTGACCATCTAAATGCTCTACCCTGGGTTTGTTTAAGGCCCAAAGCAGTCTCACAGACAGTGCAAAGAAAACCAGGGCCACAGGGAATCTTAAAAGAAACAAAACCCCTGTTTTACAAGTTCTCACAAAATGCCTCTCTGGTCATGCTCACTTTAAATGTTTTTTCTCTTTTTAAAGTTTCTTTTTGAAGAGGAAAATACAGAAACAAACAAACAAAAAGCAACTGCACCCATCCGT